ATAAGCTCCACGCCACAAAAATACATAACCCATTCCCTCCTTTAAGCACAAAACAAGAATTTCAATTCCTCTCTTATCCTTTTGCTCCATCTACCATCTCCCTATCCAGCTCATTTGACCAAAATACAAAACAAGGAAACAAGAAGAAAATGACCTCTCAATGCCCACTATTAGCAGCAAACAAAGCAGCTTTCCTTCTCAACAGCGAAGAAAGCAGATAGTGATATCATCTCTCATAATGTACATAACAACATAGAAACCGAAATATAAATCTTGATGTTCAATACTTCTGTGATGAAGTTGTGAGATAAGCAGCTGAACTAGTATGAACAGGCTTCCAAGCTGAAGCAGTTAACAAGCATAAATCTTTCCATCCGAGCTTCAGCGTTCCGTTCTCTTCCACGAGCGTGTATCCATCTGAAGGAAACATTCCGAGCAAAAGCGTAGCCTGAGCAGCAGCATTTCCAGCGAGCGACACGCCGCGAAAGCCAGACTGGCTGAGCTTCTCACGCCAGTTGCCAAACTTGATCTCACCAGTGCGTGCAGGCCCGCCCACGGCCAGCACGTTGCGGATCTCACGAGAGAGGAGCTGCTGCTCGACAATGTGCCGCTCGTTGCTGTCCTCGCTGTAGCTGGCGCTGAGGGAGTCGAAGAGAGCGGAGTAGTAGTNTGAGCCTGACTGGGTTAGGTCTTGTTCTACCATTGTCACCACTTTGGGAGCCAACCTGTAATAATATTGGTCTCACTTGTTAACAGAGAGCAATGCAGAAGAAAGATCTTAAGATTTTAGTTTGGAAAATAGTATTCGCCATTGATAAACCCCCAAGCAAGCTTAGCACTAGGAACTTGGGGTTGTGTAGGGTTTGCTCTAAAAGTCAAATGGGGTAAAAGAAAGGCTTAACAATAAAGAAAGATGATGATCAAGACCCATTAATTTACCAATCTCAACATAGTTTGTAAAGGTAGTAATGATAATCATTGCCATATTTTCAAATGAAAAGGGGAATCTAAAAAGATTGGTTTTG